AGTCCCTAAGGTGCAGTATGAAGCCTTCTGTCTAGTTCAGCTCCATTTTGAAGATGAGGAAACCAGAGTCCAAGAGAGACTGGGTCGTGAGCTGAGGCAGAGCTGGGATGGGTCCCAGGGCTCTGGACTCCATGGCTCTGTTACTTCCTCCCTTTGTTGAGATCTGGGAAGTCCCACAAACAGCCCGTAAACCTCCCCACCACAGGCACCACCATCCTTTTCTGAGGACTTCGCCCTTGGACTTAACAGCACCTCTAGGGTTCCAGCCTTTACTTATCGCACAAAAGCTAAGGCATTTTCCTTATCTTCCCAGTAGTTCCTCCACCTCTTAGACACACCCAAGGCCTTGTGGCTTCTGTTGTGCCTTTCCGTAGGGAGGAGGAGCTCTGTGCACCTTGCCTCTGTGCTTAAGTACTTATGATAGTCCTTGCCCTGCCTTCTCAATAAAGAAGGTTCTGGAAGACTTGGCCCTTTGGAACCAGCCTAAAGGTCCCTGTGCTCGGTGCTAGGGTCATCCAAGTTCTAGATGTCCTCTATTCTAGGAGTATAAAGTAGTAATCAAAGTGGAGACGTTGAGTCAACAGCTGCGGATTTCTGTCCCAGCGCCGCTGCTTACTGCCTGTGTGTGGCCCTGGGCAAGCTACAGACACTGAACTTGAGTTTCCTCATCTGAAGTAGATGTTAACAGTTGTGAATGTTCATAATACTTATCATAATTGTTGTCAGAGTGAATTTCAACTGATAGTGACCCCATGTGACAGAGTAGAGCTGCCTCATAGGGTTTTCTTGGCTGTAACCCTCATGGGAGCTGATTGCCAGGTCAGTCTCTCATGGAGCTGCGGGGTGGCTTCGAACCACCGACCTTTCAGTTGGCAGCTGAGCACTTAACCCTTGCACCACCAGAGCTCCCTTATCATACATAATAACTGACACATATGTAGTGCTTGCCATGTGCCAGGCCTGGTTCTTAGCCTTCATGTAAATTGACCCATTTAATCTTCGAATAAGCCCTATGAGAAAAGTATGTCTGTTGTTGTTGTTGTT